AAACTGTACAGTTTTTGCAAGTAATGTAGTCCAGGAATCCGAACAATGGATTCCATTTGGATCATCAAAAGTAGCTGTACATTTTAAATGTGTCTATAGAAGTCCTTTGTTGAAAATAGCAATAGCAATAGCAGTAGACTTATATACCGCTTCATAGGCCTTTCAGGCCTCTCTAAGCGGTTTACAGAGAGTCAGCATATTGCCCCCAACAATCTGGGTCCTCCACTCTGGCCTTTTTTTAATACCATGGACCTGTGGGAATTTTTAAAAATCTGCCCCACACAAAACATGGGCTATATTCCCAAACGTTCTTGCAAGTTGGGGATGAAGCTGCAGCATGTAGCATGCTGAGCCATGCCTGGGTTGGCTTGAAGTAGATATAGGTTCTGTCCAGTTCTAAGCTTAGCCTGCTTCAGTCCTAGCTGAACAATTGCCTCTGTGTCTTTTCTTTGGTTAGGGCTCTGAGTTGTGTTACTTTCGTTTATCCTCAGAAAAGCATACGACTTAAACGTCTCTTTGAACAAAAATTCAAAGTAGAGTTCTACATTTTCTAAGTAAAAGAAAGATGAAAAGTTCAAAAATACTTAAAGCATTGAGATGCAGTATCTCATTCATTCATTCATTCATTCATTCATTCATTCAGACACAGTATCTATATTTATATCACTATGCTGCACGTGGAGACGGTATTTTTTTAAACATACAGTATGCCACCGAAGCAAAAATGTAAAATAATTAAGAACACACGGAGTTGATATTCAATTATTTAGTACATTTATAAGCCTCCCATCTCATATACATGACAGAATGGCTCTCAATTAAAACAGAATAAAAAGGAATACCCCCCCCCCCAACTAGAATGAAAAATAACAAAGATTTAGGAAATGATCAGGTTGAGCCTTAGGGAGGTGTCAAAGCATCATCAGTTTTGAGTCCCTTCCCGCCTACAAGCGGTCCAGGCCCCCTTGAATTCCACTGGCTCTTATCTACTGCAAATTTGCTTTGACTGTTAGTAGTTCAGATTCTTGTGGAGAGCTTTAGCATACAATAAACCTATAGTCATTTGAACCCCCTTGCTTCCTGATTTCTTGCACCTGACAAAAAAACAACATAAAAACAGATAAGAATACTTATAAATAAATACTCAACTTAAGTCATGAAAGAGAGACACCCATGATATCAGGATCCTAGACTTCATGGCAAAACAGGGTTTTTAGTACCCTGCAAAAAGTCAGCAGGGTTGGAGCAAGTCAAATTTCTGGTGTGTGTGTGTGTGTGTGTGTGAGAGAGAGAGATGTTTCATTGATTAATATCAGAGATAAGAGCCGAGGTGGTGCAGTGGTTAGAGTGCAGCACTGCAGGCTACTTCAACTGACTGCTAGTTCGGCAGTTCGGCGGTTCAAATCTCACCGGCTCAGGGTTGACTCAGCCTTCCATCCTTCCGAGGTGGGTAAAATGAGGACCCGGATTGTTGTTGGGGGCAATATGCTGACTCTGTAAACCGCTTAGAGAGGGCTGAAAGCCCTATGAAGCGGTATATAAGTCTAACTGCTATTGCTATTGCTATTGCTATTGCTATAATATGTGAATTATGAGGACTGGGCCCAAAGTCCACTCGTAACCAGAGAATTTCAATACCTCTTTTTAGGTTACATCCTATCACTCAGTAGTGTTCACTCCCAAAGTTTGTCTTGAGAATAAAATGAGGGGTGGCCCCAGCACTTTTGAATAAAGTGTCATCATAAAATGTAAAGAAAGAAATTAACCATCTAAAGGCCCAATTAAGGGCTTAAACAGAGCCAGAGGAACAATCAGGCTTTGTCTGAAAGCTGAGAATGAGAGCCAGCTTTTGGGTTGGTAGGTCAGGCCTCTCAGCTGAATGAACAAATGCACCTATCCTCTTGCCAGCTAAATGGAGAACTGTGTACATGCTGGAAAATCTGCTGAGCTTTTAACATTTGTCTCCCTTCCCGTTCCCCTCATCCCCACGGATAGATCAGCTCTTACGATCAGCAAGTCAGCATTCCGACAGCAGCGGCTTTGCAGAAGATTCTTCCACCGACTGCTTCTTGCTCAATCAACTGCAGGTAAATTTCTTGGGTTGCTCTATTTCTGCTTTCCCCATTCTTAGCCGCCTGTCGTGTGAGCAAGGAAGACCCTTCATCATCCCTAGAGGAAATGTGGGAAAGGTCTTGTCTTCTAAGGTTGTGATTCAGTAGCAGGACGTTTCCTTTGTTGCCTGAATGGTTGGATTGAACTGCAGCAGAACCTTCTAGCTACAACACCTGATATTTCTTTTTTCCCACCATAATTGCAAGATGTAATTATCACGTTCCAGGTATAAAACCACCAGCAGCATAGAAATGCAGTGCTCACAACCGCATAGAGCACCGAATAGGAAGAGTCGTTAAAAGTTTAACTTAATCAGCCAAATGTTTCTAGAAACGCCAGCTTATTTTCTTGACTCTAAAAGTATATGTCATGGCTTCATAAACTTCTTTGGGAAAAAGCACTGAGTGATATTGAAAGCTATGCTTCTGTTGAACGCCTGCCACCTAAATCAAGAGTCGACAACATGCTGCTCTATATCCATTTTCCTGTGTTTTATTTAGTGAAGTACCGAACAGAAGCATTATGACCTGCAGCTCTTGGTAGATGACTCACTTTATGACCCATTAAGTTTGGAGTTGGCTCCAGCAGAAACGCATTTTATATCAGTCAAACTGAAGCCAGCAGATACATCACTTCAGAGCCAGGTTGCCTAACATTTCAGCTTGCCTGGGCCGCATATAAAATACATAAAAGTCAATATATATAAATAACAGAATTCATTTATTTCTTAAATATTTTTCATTATCTTGTGGGTCTGCTAACTGTCCAGTGCTGCATGTGGCCGGTGGGCTTCAGGTTGCACACACCTGCTTGAGAGCAGTGGTGCCATGAAGATGTATGGATCTGCTGCTCATCCTATACAAAAGCCATCCTTTGAGCCCAAATATCTCTGCTAGGTAGCAGGTGGACACCCCCGCCTCCACCCCGTTGCTCAGGATAAACCAAAGGGAACCAAGGGAGTGTCTGGGTAAATTGAAAGGAAGGGTGAAAATTATGATTAAGACCTACAGTTGCAATATTTTCTATATCCGCGTTTTTCTGCTTTAGAGAAGGAATTTGTTGGAGTGGTAAGGAAAGCTCAAAAGGAATTTTCGTGAGAGTCCATACTTTGCCCAAGGGTAGACTGGTAAAGACAAATTTTGTAAACAAGCTATGCGACCGAAAAACAGATTTATAAAAAGGATCTGAGTAATTTTTAAAAAGGAAATATGTAGTGTATTATGAATGTGTTTACTCGGGCAAAAGACCTATTAAATTCACTACTTGGGAAGGGTTTGATATGGCTGTCAAATCAGAAACAGTCAAAAATAGGAAGTGGGTTGTTGTTTTTTAAATTGTGAATTTTCTTCTCTTGCTTTTGGCATGTTCCTTTGACTATCTATATTAAGAGGGAACTTTCATTCCATTGCAGTCATGTAAAATTGAACACAGAGAGGGAGAGGGAGGGAGGGAGAGAGAGAGACAGAGAGAGAGAGAGAGGGAGAGAGAGAGAACAATCTCTTTGGTTTATGTTTCTCTTTGACTCCCTCTCATTCCATAGTTGTATTTAGGGCTGCAGGGTCTCTGTGTCCTACTTCCTGACTGTTACTTCTTTGTCTTAATTCTGCTTGGTTTCCTGCTTCCCTGGGAGTGGATGGCATGAATAATGGCTCTGCTTGATGCCTAATAAAGAAGCCAGGAGGACAACAAAGAAAAAGTGTGGGCAAAAAAAACCCCAAACCCCAGCCTGTTGAACTTCGGGGACTCTGTGTACCCAGTTCTTCTTTGGAATGGGAGATTGTGTATATAACTCATGTGTGGTGCCGAGGACACAACGGGAAAGGGTGGAGGGTCCTCTCTATTCAAAGAGAAATCACTCCTGCCTGCCAGATTTTATTGGTAAAGGCAGACAGGAGAAAGGCTCCGAAGGAGGGGAACCTAAGTTAGCAGAAGGGCAAGAGGGCCGTCCTTCTGTTTCCAGCCTACTTGAGACTTTCAAGGTCAAAAACGGGTAAATAAATAATGAGTCTGGAAATAAGAGATAAGCAGGGTTGGGGGAATAAGTGCATTATATCGCAAGCTTCTTTAGAATTTCACAATCACCTTTAAATAATGTCAAGACTTCTCAAGTGAAAAGTAGATCTGTTTGTGTGTGTGTGTGTGTGTGTTTTACAAGTCTTGATAAAAGTTTTCAAAGTTAGGGCAATGTTTTCCAGACTTTCATAGCTTATAAGCCACCAGTATCTTTTTAAAATCAAAACTCGGAATGCTTTTTCAGTTTCTTTTTAAAAAAAAAATATATTAGTGAAACTTAACAAAGAGAAATAAAAACAATATACAGGTAGTCCTTGACTTATGACCACAATTCAGCCTCCCCCATTTTTGTTGTTAAGTGAGATATTTGTTAAGTGAGTTTTGACCCATTTTACAACCTTTCCTGCCTCGGTTGTTAAGCGAAGCCCCATTAGTAACATGGTTGTTAAGTGAATTTGGCTTCCCCATTGACTTCGCTTGTCAGAGGTCCGCAAAAGCTGATCTCAGGATCCAAGGACACCACAACCATCATAAATATGAGTCAGTTTCCAAACTTCTGGTGTTTGATCACATGATCATCGGGATGCTGCAAAAGCCGTAATAAGACACTTTTTTCAGGGCCATTGTAGCTTTGAACGGTCCCTAAATGAACTGTTGTAAGTCGAGGATAACCTGTAACATGGGTACAATATAAAATAAAATACTACCTATAGGTTGTCCTCAACTTACGACCACAATTGAGCTCAAAATTTATATTGCTAAGTGAGAAATTTGTGAAGTGAGTTTTGCCCCATTTTACGACTTTTCTTGCCACATTTGTTACTTGAATCACCGCAGTTGTTAAATTAGTATCCCGGTTGTTAAGTGAATCTGGCTTCCCCATTGTCTTTGCTTGTCAGAAATGTGGCAAAAGATAGTCACATGACCCTGGGACACTGCAACCGTCATAAATGTGAGACAGTTGTCAAGCATCTGAGCGCAAATCATTTGACCATGGGGATGCCACAACGGTCATAAGTCTAAAAAAATGGTCATAAGTCGCTTTTTTCAGTGCCGTTGTAACTTCAAACGGCCTCTAAATGAACTGTTGTAAATCAAGGACTATCTGCACATATTTTATATGCAGCCTACTGACTGCCTCACTGCAAATAAAATTGCAAAACAGTGATCCAGGAAAAAAAAAAGGATCCTATTATGCTTGTCTGAAAAAAATATACCCCAAGATGGAGAAAAACGTGTCAGGAGCAATGAAAGCTTGGTCCATGGAGGTTTAAAGAACTGCCTTCCCCGAGTCTCTGCGAAATTGTCAGAACCAGCCAAGTGTGTAAGCAGCTGCCTGGAAAAAGTAAAAAATATGAATCCCAGTGAACGAGTGACCTTGAAATAGAATTGCCTTGTTTAACAATGTATGCTGTGGATATTGTGGAATCACCTTTTTCATGGTGATGGAAAGAAACAAGTGTACTGTTTTGTATTATTGTGTTATTACTCCTGATTTCCCTCACGCCGCCATTTCTCCATGTGTTCTCCCCTCAGGGTCACGACTCACTGCAGGCCATGGGAAGCAGTGCCGATAGCTGTGACAGTGAGAAAACAGTGACATCCTACAGCGAAGAACTCAAGACGCCAGTGGCTGAACCAGTGTGCTCTTTCAGTGAGCTGGATGAGGAGAATTTCCTCCTCTTGGAAATGGAGCAGCGGGAGAAAGAGGAAGTAGCTGAGGTGGATGTAAGAGGAGGCCAGGACACGTTAGAACGCCAAGACGGGCTTTCTTCAAATGGCAAAAAGGAAGAGCTTGACGGAGGCAGCTTAGAAAGGAGAAACGAAGTCGCTCCAGTCCGCGAAGCAGAACTGGAAACATTGGACGAAAGCAGCGAAGAGAGTGATGTAGAGAAGAGCAGTGAATGCGAGTTCCCGCCCTATAAAACTCACCACATTCTCAAATCAATGTCATCTCTAGACAGTAGCTGTTCCTCTCCTTCTTCTGTGGAGCGGGTGAATATTGCTTTACAGAGAGCCCAGAGAAAGGACAGCGGGTCTTCCAGTCCCAGAACAGATCGCCCCCTGCTCAAATCAAAGGACCTTCTTTTTAAGAAGAGGCATCCGGTCTCAGAACTGGGTTATCCCCTGAGGCGCTCCCAGTCCCTCCCAACCACTCTTCTCAACCCAGTGCGAGTTGTCTCCTCGGTGAATCTCCAGCTAAACCCAGGCAAGCAAATGCAGTGTGGCCCTCCTTCTTTCACGTATCTCTACGACACAGAGGATGATCCCGGGAAAGAAAATACCCCAGAAGAAACGTCCTCTGGAGACACTGACAAGAGCTCTTCTCCTTTATGTAAATCCACCCTCCACATTGCTCCGTCACCCATGAGGAAGGAACCTTCCCAGCCTGTTGGAAACAAGGGGCAGGATGAGTTCCTTCGTAGCAGGATCCAGAGCTGCCCTTTGCACCTCCCGCCATGCATGTCTCAATCTTCATGCTCTCTGCATTCTCTCCACTCTGACCTTCCAGACGGGCACTTCCATGGCCAGACAAGGACATTTAGTACACACAGCATCCCAAGCACCCCTGGTTCTTCCTGTGGGGGATTGGTCTCCCCTTTTGGCTGCCCTCATATGTTGAGGCACGTTGGACATCCCCACCGGTTTCCTTCCACGAACCCTCCCTCCACTGTTGAAATGCAACTGAGACGAGTCTTACATGAAATCAGGAACTCCTTGCAAAACCTCTCACAGGTAAGGGGAAGTGGAATTGGTTGCTAGAATCCAGCCTTTCTCTGTTCTAGAGCCATCCATGTATCCTGGACTCCATCTTCCCCACCCACATGGAATGGATCATTGTGGATGATGGGGAAGGTTGCCCAATGTAAAAGAATAACTGGTTTCTGTAGCTTAGAAAGCAGAAGAGGATAAAGCGTATTAATGACTTAGGGCTGACAGGACAAGGAGTAGGGGATTATTACATACCGCCATTATTTTCTTACTTAGATGCATAATCTTTGAGATCAAAGGGATGTTAAGCAGATATTTCATGATTGTGATGCTAAGATGAGAAGTTTTTGACTCAAGAACAACCATTAAACTAAGATTTGAGCATCCAGATCTAGATAAAATGCCTTTTTCCAATGGCTTATGCTGCCTCTTACATATACAAATTAAATTGTGTGTGTGTGTTTGTGTGTGTTATATACACGAATTTGATCTTTTTATTTTTTTTCTCCTTGGAGAAAAAGCATGCATCAAGTACATTAAAGAGGATGAAATGCAGCATGGGGCAATTTATGTCAAGGAAATCTCTAGACAGCATTCATAAAAGGGGCCCATGTGGAAATTCTGGGATTGTGGCCCATGTTTTGTCATGAAGACAACTAACCTGAACATTTTGAATATTGTATTTTACTTCTCTGACTAATCCATTATCATTGACTTTCAGTCAATGGATTTCACAATACAGCCTTCCTTTACCAGCCTGCTTCCACAAAAAATGTCAACATTTTTTTTTCTCAATTTGTACTTTATATCTCTGTCACATAATTTCGCTTTCACATTGTAGGATGATCGCCAAAGGCTTGTGTTTGGGAGGGAAGTGTTGGAAAGATTCAAACTTTTTGAACATAACTTTCAAATATAGAATCTCTCATTTAGCATATAAAAGAACTGAAGTGGCATTATTATTTTTCCTGTGGATTATCAAGCGGAGAGTGAATAGAGTTAACCAGCTGTATTGTGAAATCCATTGACTGAACGTGAAATTGCTTTTACAATGTAATGTTTTCCCTTGGCATCTTTAGTTCATAAAGCTCCAGGGTGTACCGGCCTAGCCATTTTTAAACAACTCTAGGGGAGTGTCTGTTTGTGCAACCTATTTCACAGATAAATAACTCCATGGGTGGTGTTCGTTTTGCTATTTAGAGAAGGGTGGAGAAGGGTTTCAATCTAGAACTATTCCTTTGCTTAGTTGAAGAATCCTCAGCTGTCTGTATAATTGCATCAGCTGGCATGAGGGACTGCTATTTGCCTATATTTTCAAATGTTACCCTGTTTCCCTGAAAATAAGACCTCCCTGGATAATAAGCCCAATCAGGCTTTTGAGGGCATGTGCTAAAACAAGCCCTCCCTGAAAATATTGCAACACAGCAGCAGCCATGAGGTGACGACGCTCGCTGCCTCCTGCACCTCAAAAATAATAAGACCTCCCCAAAAATAAGGCCAGGCGTTTATTTCGGGGGTGAAAAGAAAATAAGGGCCTGTCTTATTTTCAGGGAAACAGGGTAACATTTGAAAATAT